GATGAAGGTTCTATGGCCAGCAGCCTTCGAGGATGTGGATGTGCGGATGTTCCTTGAGGAGATCGAGGATGTGGCGGAGCTTGCCGGTATACGGACAGATCGCGGCAAGTTGACGGCCCTCCGAGCGCTCCTCAAAGGTCGTGCGCGGGTAGTGTTGGACGCGGCACGAAGGGGCCCGGAGAAAATGGAGTGGGCCACCGCTAAGTACACCCTGATCGCGGGCTTTGACACCCCGGCAGACCGCCAGGAGGCACTCCGTCGCTTCAAGACGGCGCAGCTCGGAGTCGCTGTGAACCCATTTTCGCATGCCTTGGCCCTGCGTGGGCTGTTGGATCGCGCACTACCGACATTGGATGAGAATGCGCGCTCGGAACTACTCCTTGACCGTTTCACAGAGAGCCTCCCGGAAGACATACGCGAGAAAGCGAAACTCATCTATGTGGCACGTACCATGGACGTAATGACGCTAGCCAAAGTTATGAGGCAGTTCGTCGGTCAGGAAATTGCTGCGGTGCGAACACAGGAAGTCCATAAGGATGAGCCACCAGAAGACGTGAAGGCCACAGTCGACGGACTGACGGATGAAGTGGCGATACTCAAATCAAATTTCGGACCGAAGAAAAACACAAATGCATGTTTTCATTGTGGCAGGCGACGTCATTGGCGGCGAAATTGCCCTGAGAGATATAATAAATACTCTTCGAATTCGCGATTGATTCCATACACGCGTCTTCTCTCGAACAAAGCAATCATTGGAGCTGTAGATAGCGGGGCAGTACAGACCAATTTGGAGATCGAGGGGCACAGAGAACTATGCTTGATCGATACAGGTGCGACAGTCTTTGGCTAGACCCCAACCAAACGAGCTCCTGGAAACGTGGAATACAGCTGTGAAAACAGTCGCGGATTACCAGTTGAAGGTAGATGGAGTAGCCAAACGGACGGTCCGCGTTGGAAATGGTATAATCAAGCACCCATTTGTCATAACAAAAGACACGAGCCAGACTATAGTGGTTGATCTGAACAACGAACAGCTTGTTACCAAATTTGGCACGATCCCGCTGTTACACTTCAAAGGTAAGAGGTTGGCAACCGTGAGTACAGAAAAAACTCACACGAATGTATCTCCTTCATTTC